TGGTCGTCAAGAACAAAAGCATGTCTCTTCTCTGGGAAGTAACCTCTATTTTCGTGTAAATTCTTTTTTACTGAACCCCAACATGGTCTCCTTGTCACGTAGTTGCAAACTAAGAACGTGATATCAATGGAAAAGGGGCTATCATCAGTCCCTCTCGGGGGATTGCTCAGATGACTAACTGTTACCTACTGCTGTTATTTGCCATCGTATCATTATCCAAAATAAAGTCTGCTGCGCGGTCGAATTATAGCAGGAATTAGTAGCAAAAGCGAAGTACTTTCTCAGCTAAGAGATAAAGAAGACTCATATACAGTGCAATTAAAGGATGGAACATCACCATGGCCCTAGGGCACGAAACCCCCTCTTTCACAAAAATGGGCCTTGGGTCCATATAACAGTTGAGTACGCCACCAGCACTGCTAACTTTTGTCCCCTCTCACTTTCAAATTCGTTCTTACGGGCCCGCATGACAACTGAAGACAGCATATCTGGGAAAAAAAGGCGGCCAGAAAACTGCTTCGATTTGAAAGTTTGGCTGAACTTGGTAATTTGTATTGCGCGTCACACAGAAAAACAGGAACACGTTGATTTGGCCAATTGATTGAATTGATTGTTTGGTGAATCATAATAAAAACTTATCTTCTCGGAGAAATGGTATTCTTTCGTTGTTTTCACTTTATTTGTAGTTAAACTTTAATTTGAATAATTATTATAGGTAAGTGCATCAATCTTAGCCATCGGTAGCGGTTCCGGCAAACTGAGAAAGTTTTACCTCGAATTATGGATTGCTTTACCACCCTATCTAATTCAGTTTACTTTAACAAAGAGAAGAAGAAGAACAACAGTCAACAAGCTGTAAACTAATCGAACAACAGATAGAGGTGCTATCATTTGTACAAGTTGCTGTTTTGGGGGAAAGTATATATACACTCTCTATATATATAATATATACGATATATATATATAGTTTTACCTGGATTTTTGAACTTGGTTTAGCAAAAAATCAACTCACTCTACTACTTGGCAATTTAAAACAATGAAAAATCATTAAAAGGCCGATTAAAAGCCTTTATCTGACGCCGAGCAGTAAGTCAGTAGTGGTCCCTAGAAGTATTTCAACGAGTCACAATTTTAATGATGTCAAGTGATTTCTGCACCGTTCTTTGAAGTTTAATAGTCGGTTGCAGGCAATTACCTTCAAGAGGGCATTCCGGTTTCTTGACGGTAATTGCCTCAGACAAAACTTGATTTACCAAGCGACTGTAACGGCTGGAACAACAACAGAATCATACATTGGACTCAGTAGCCACTAACTTCAAAGAACAGTACAGAAATCACTTGACATCCTTCCGACACGAAGAAGAAACGAGACGGAACTGTCCAAACAGGTGTGGACCCTCAAAGATGCCAACAGATCCTTTCACGTGCAGGGGAAAGTACTCAGGAATTGTAAACCATATGACAAGGCTAGCAAAAATTGTAATCTGTGCCTCCAAGAAAAAATTTTTTATCATTTGTAAAAAACACTTATGTACTCTGAACAAAAGAAACGAATTAGCAAGTTCATGCCCATACAGAAATAGATTCACTCGCAGAAATTTTAGAATAACGTAACGCAACGCAACGAAACCGCACGGATCCCGAAAAACCCATTGGGGAACCTCTATACCTCCGTGTCGACTTTGTGTTTATTTACAAACGTTTTAATCTCTCTCCGTCTGCCTCTTTACCAGCCGCTCGCAATCGCATATTCAGAGACTTTTTAAAATTGGCTTCCCAGTACAGAACGGACTTTAACTTCTCAAAGTTCCTTCCTCACTAAGCCTTGAATTTTGGAAAATTATTACTTCAATTTATAAAACTGCTTTTCTGCTGAAGATAATAGAAGTAAGACAAGCTGCGAAACACGCACTTAGGAAACTTTTTCCGTTTATCGACTTAGCTAACGTTTCAGAAATGTGCATTGCATCCCTGACCGACAAGCCAGTAGTAAAAAACAAATTCCAGACATCATCGTCATTGTGATATTAGATTTCAAATGTGACCCTACGTTCTCTCCTTCTATCAGCGGTAAGGAGAAATCTAGACTCTTCATCGGCCCCGGTTGTTCAAAAGGTAGATAGAGCTATTATTAGTTATCCACTGAATACTCTGTATCAAGTGGATAACGCAGTTGGTTGGATTAACACGTGATTCACTGGCGAGAGATAATGGATAGCCGCTCCCCACTAAACTTGTCAACGACTGGGGCCAGTCTACAAAAGCACTTGTTCTAAGATGATTAAAAATTTCCATCGTTATAACACGAACCACCCCGTTGATAATTTATGTGAGTACGTACTGGATCAAGAGCCTGCTTTTTGAATAACGAAATTCCCCAGTTTTGCTGACATATTACCCACTTTCTACGAAAGATTATCACTCCTTCGATGAATTGGGGCGGTTCATCAAAGGACGGTATGTTATGTATGAGTACCGGGTTTAGTACGTACCTTGCATTTGAATAACGAAACTCCCTTAAATCGATGAATTGCGGTGGTTCATCAAAGGACAGCTTTCAAGGGTTTAAAATACCTCGTATTGATCAGAGTATCGCGATCAAGAGATCAAGAGCTTTAACTATTCTCCTGCATCAATGATAAATATTGTAGAAGAATACATCCACCTGGATTTGAACAAGTTGAAATTCTAAGACAGATCTACCAAGTTTCAGAAGTTTACGCTCGTCGACTGACAACACTGAGCTCAGAGGTGACAGACTGAACAGCTTGAATAGGTAGGTTAAAGATTGTTCAGAAATCGACTGTAAGCTTTCGTGCACTCCTTAAACTTAAAGATTCATTCATTCATTCATTTTTGCCATTAACCACACATAAATATAACAATATACAAGAAATTTATAATACATTAAAGATAATATACACTATTCTAACGAAATTATTTACAAAATTAAAGTTTTAAAGTGGTAATGACAAGGAAGCCTAAATACAAGCCGGAGGCTTATATACTATATTCTTCCTGCAACTATAGGGTAAACCATGGGAGTTTAAGGGTGCTGAATGAAAAATGGATTAATTTTTAAAAGAAAAGGTATGTAGCTCAAATAAATATATTTTTCTGAGAAAGAAGGCCTAAAAACGGAGCTCTAATGGAAAAAACAGCAAACGCCAACCGTAACATTTTCCTGCTAATTCCAGTTGAGTTCCCCGTTTTCTGAGATCGTCTGGATCGTGGCGTCAAAACTTCCTAGAAATACGATGGTTGTATCCAACATGTTAAAGCCTCGTTATTAAGGGGAAAACATGTCTCGGTAAAAAAGGATCACCCGCTTATCTGAGCTACCTTGGGCGAGCCAACTTTTTATACATTTCATTTCATTACAAAACGTGGTGTACCGTTAACATGAGAAACAGAAACTTGGCTTGGCTAAAAGGATGACCCGCCTTGCCGGATCACTCTTTTAGAGCGGTAGGGTCACCCTCCTAGCCGGGTCAACTTTTCTCCATACAGCAATTTTGAGAGAGGTTGTCGGAAAAAGTACACGCGACGATCCCGAAAGGTATATTGTGGGTGGTTTTGAGTTCACTGTTGTTCAAAAAAATTTGGAAGAATGGCACGAGAGGCTATAGACGTATGTTTTCTAATGCTAAAGGAAAGCAACAATGGAAGAGTCGACAGCTACAGGGTCAAGAACAGCGTATTGATCATATCCCAAATTACCGTTCGAAATAGCTGTATTGACACGTTGGCTCGCCCAGCTGGGTCGACTCTGTCAAGGCGAGAAAATCATGCAGAGCATGCGTGAAAACCTTACCCTCATATAAACGCTCGCTGAAGTTGACTAGACTGGGACTGTGACCCTCTCCTTCACATACCGTAAAACGGGGTCTAAGTAACCCCAAATTCAATTGTTGGAAATGTAGTACCACAACACTATTCACTCACTTCAGATTGTTTAATTAAAAGTCACAGTAAAAAAGTCACACCCGTAACCGTCCCGAAAGCTGCTCTAGTCTCAAGTGAAGCGAAGAATCTATATATTGAATACATATACTGTTGAAAAATCTAAAGTTACCAATCATTTTGACTGACGTCTTTGGTACTTGATTATCTCCAAAATAGCTAAATGATCGATATGATAAAATTGTCAAGTACTAAAATTGTCACACTCGTAATATTTCTAACATTCTCCCCCCATTTGTCCCGAAGAGAGCAAATGTTCGTCGATAAATGAAGTTATTCTCTAAAAAACAACGAAACTAAAATGATTGTATAAAAGTTCTGACTAAAAACGTTCACTTAATTGATAACAGCCCTAGTGGCAAGTTCTCAGATTAACAAGGTGATCATTCAAAGTCTTCTTCAGCATAATAACTTACCGTCCGCATTTCAAAATACTTTATCAGACCCTATCATCCTTCCAAATGGTACCAAATTAAATTCGCTTTTATATGCTGATGATTTAATTATTATATCACGATCTAAAATCGGATTGCAGAACTGTCTCAACACATTATCCTCTTTTTGCAACTCTTGGATGTTAGATATAAATTCCAAAAAGACCAAAGTTATGGTCTTTCAAAAACGAGCGAAGAAAAACTCCAATCTAGAATTCCATATAGGTAAAGAAACCATTGATACTGTCCATGAATATACATATTTAGGAACCCGTATCTCCTCAACCGGTAATTTTAATATCTCCCTCGAACACCTGAAGGAGAAGGCTCTTCATGCTCTTTTTAGTTTAAGAAAACACACAAACTTTAGCAAATTAAAACCTTCTCTTGCTTGCAAAATATTTGAAACGATGATTTCCCCGATATTATCATATAATAGCGAAATTTGGGGTGTATATGTAAAACATGATTTTAAAGCTTGGGACAATACCCCAATTGAAAAAACCCACTTGAAATTTTGCAAGCGTTACCTAGAAATAAGCAATAAAGCTTCAAATGTTGCAAGTAGAAGTGAATTGGGACGGTTCCCATTAATTATTAATATTTATAAAAACATCCTTTATTAATTACATATTGTATCTTCTGCGTAAAAACGAGGATACTATTGTTAAACAAGCCTTTCGTACTTCGCTAGAACTTCACTGTAATGGTAAAAATAGCTTTTACAATAATCTTATGAAAATATCTGAATATTATGACCTCCCTGATTTTGATCCTAATAATTTAAATGAAGCTAAGATCAAACACTATATAGATATAATAAAACAAAAATATATTGCATATTGGCAACATACAATCCATCATTCTAAGAAACTACAATTTTACAGCTTATTTAAACATGATTATAAAATTTCAAGTTATCTAGACTTAATTAGAAATTCTGCGAATAGGAAAGATTTAGTGAAAATTCGTATAAGTAACCACAAACTCATGATTGAAACTGGAAGATATAATCAAACTTCCCGCAACGATAGACTCTGTCCTATTTGTAACTCTGGTATAATTGAAGACGAATTTCATTTTCTCTTCCATTGTCCAAAATACTCAATCCCAAGGGAGAAATTCTACGATCAAATCCAACAAAATTTTGTCGATTTTGATCAGCTATCTTACACAGAATTAATAATTAAATTGATGAATTCACAGAATTTTTCCGTAAATTCACATTTGTTGAAATTTGTCTCATTATGTAATGATTTACGTAATAATTTGTTATCAAGTCATGCTGATGACACTTGATTGACTACAGTCATCATTGCATTATCATTGTTATGATTTGTTTGTTTGTTTGTTTGTTTGTTTGTTTTTATATTAAAGCTTTTGCAATACTGTAACTATATAATTATAGTCATGCAAATAAAGCTTATGTTGTTGTTGTTGTTGTTGTTGTTGTTGTTGCATCGGCAACCACAGCCGCAATACGGTCTCTGGCTTCTTGCGCAGCACGCCTTGTCTGTTTTGGGGTAAATGCTTCGGCGTCAGGGTTCAGCTGGCTCTTGGATCTCCCTGTATCCCGATCACATGCCAACTCGAGGGGGTACAGCTGTTGTAAAGCTCGCTCGAGGTACGAGTTCCCGGCTGGCAGCTTTGCCGCCCTTACAACTCCATCACGGCCAACTATGAGTTCGTAAACAATCCCCATCTTCCATTTTCCTCGGTTCCTCTCGTCTTCTTTGATCAGCATCACGTCACCGACAGCTGTGGTAGTAGGTGCACCTGAGTGTTTAAGGAGATGTCGCTCACAAAGTCCCTTTAAGTACTCATCGATCCAACGCTTCCACATCACATCCTTGCAGCGTTTGAGGTACCTGGCACGTTTTCGCAAGTCTGGGGTTTCTAAATGATGACACTCCAGCTCAGGCAGTAGATTGGGTTGTCCGAAAAGCAATGAATTTGATGTTAATACTGGAAGTTGAAGGTCGTCCTCAACATAGCTCAGCGGACGGTTGTTCAGCGTCACTTCTACGTCAAGTATAACATCCTGTAGTTCTGCCCACGTCAGCATTCCTGAACCGATGGATCTTGTGAAGTGCTCTTTTAACCAGTCCTATTAACCGCTCGAATTGACCACCCCACCAGGGAGCTCTACTTAAATTGAACTTCCCCTTGATCCCGTTATGCGCCAGGTAGTCGTGAAACGTCTCGTCGCTCATGATGGTCTTCAGTAGCCTAGCTGCACCGACGAAAGTTCTCCCATTGTTAGAATAGAAAGTCTCTGGGCGCCCTCGACGTGCTATAAACCTCTTTAAACTGCTCATGAATTCTTTGGTCTCCATGTTTGGTAACAACTCTAGATAGATCCCTTGGGTTAGGCTACATGCGTAGAGCACGATGTACGCCTTGGCTTCGTTGTTCTTTCCCTTCCGATACTTCAAAGGCCCGGCGAAGTCAACACCAACCACTTGAAACGCTGCCGTTCTTTAAGCCCCAAGATCTACATACAGATTCTCTACACTGATGTCCATACATTTCTTTTAAGAATAGTGGAGAGAATTTGGTTGAAGATCAAAGTATTCTCCCTTTGGTAATCAATTTAGTAATTCTCATAACCTTTACGCGATGATCTGCTGATGTTGTCGGGAGAAAATTTATGTTGGTCACTCTTGGGACCTAAAAGATTAAAAAAAAACGTCCCGAGGAGAGACGGCCGTATTCGCAGGCTAGCTAAGTTCGAAATGTCAGCTTTTGAATCTTTTTTTTTTTTGTCGGTGATAAATTTATTTTGATAGCTCAGTTAATACTGAAAATCAAATTTTGTGTTTGACTCCCCACCGACACCGCGCCACAGTTCCTTTTGATGCAACTAAGGGCGCGTTCCGCTGGAATGGCCGGGAACAGGCTCAGTAATCGGATCGATCGGATTATAGCACATCAAAGGAGACGATAAATTAATCCTTTTGAAAGACTTTCATTGGTTCATTTGATTTACCATGATCCGAGTAACCTCGGATCACTGATTCTAATCCGAATCATCCCAAAGGAACGCATCCTAAACCCTTCGTGACAATATTTGGGCGCCACTTTTTGAGTTTAAAACCGGTCGTGACTTGCTGGTATGCTTTTTTCCGCGCTTTTCGCCGAGGACACGTCCTTGGTTTAATATCTGATTGGTTCATTTGATTATCTTCTGTAACTGTGATTGGCGAGACAAAGTTCAGTCGAAGCGTCCCTAACAGGCCCGACACCCGCGGGCCTACGGTAATGTTCTCTTGAATGAAGAGTTCAAGCGGCCGTAAGTGGAGTGGCCATAAAGCGATTAGTTTCGACCGAAATCTGGTTTTGATTTTAAGATATTCGATTGAAAAATGCTCTTTCTTCCTAGCTTTGTTCTTGTTTTTGTTGAATATGTTTTGACGAAATGAATGTTGCTGTGATTTGCAGTTTTCAATGGAGAATTATCGCGGTTTGATACAGGACATGAGTCCACAGGACCGAGAGGTTAGTCGGCCAAAACAGTTTTTTTTGTTGTTGTGTCAAATAATAATATTAGTGTGTGTAACTGAAATGGTGACAAGTGAAATTATAAGAATTTTGACAAAATGCAGGTGTATCACCTTTTTATGTCATGGGTGACAATAACGCTTATCGTGAGTTTTCACTTGTTCGTATCGAAAACTCCAAGTACTGAAAAGTTTAAAACATACATTAAATATCCAAAATTTTCAGAATTTTTTACTAAAATACTCGCTAGAATCCTTGTTGATAAAATGTGTGCTCTTTGGTGTGTTTAGGTACTCCTTATTGTCTTTAAATGCCCTGACATCTTCATTCGTGCTATCTTTAAACCTTGACGCCATCTGGTACAAACGTAACATTGTCTTAGCAATTTTGCCGTAATTTCACATGTGGATTCAACGCTGAAATTTTGCGCAAGAATTCAGGAGCAATTTTTCACCCATGATTTTATTTTCACTATCATACGCTTGTTCCCTTTTCAGATTTTTAATTTTGACGTGGAAAAAAATTGAGTGGGAAAACTATCTTAAGCGTTTTACCATCGGCCTTAAGACATTTCTGTTGAAAGAAGATCTGGCTAATCTTCCAGTGGCACATAGTCGGATCCGCAAGTAAGTGGTCAAATAACTGTTACCTTTCGTTTCGCAAGGGAGTGGTTCCAGAAAGTATGCATTCATTCTTACTTTCTGCATAGGGCCAGTAAAGGTGGATTTTCACCGTCGCGTAATTTTTACGTGCGTACATGTTACGCGTGTAAATAAAATAGAGGCAATGTACGGAATGTCCCGCGTAAACGTAAGAGTTGAACTTCGCTCAAGTTTACACTCGGTTTTTCATACATTGCCTTTATTTTATTTACAAGAAATCCTCTCTTATTCTAGATATAGCGCGTACTCATAACGGCTTTTCTGATCACGACTGTCATTAAATCCAGAAACATTCGTCCCCTTTGCTGGCTAAACGATAGTGACGTCAAATTTTACTTACATGATTTATCTGACAAAAAACGTGATCTAATCTGCGCATAAAGTCAAGAACTGCTTATATGAGCAAAGAGCACTCTTTTACTAAAGCACTTTTCCTATGTTGTTTTCCAGACTGCGTAACATTCGTTGGACGATGTACTTTTGTTTGTTTCGGTTCGTTTCGTGGCTCATAATTAAAAGGTTCCCAGCCGCACAGACCACTTGGACCCAGTGCTTATCTGGTGTCCACAAGCTGGCCCGGGCCCTGGAGCCATTCAAGCTGTCCAACTAGAAGCCTTGACTTTTGAGGTCTTCCTAGGGGTGGGCTCCAAAAGGTCCGGTGTGGTATTACACACGAAACTATTTTTGTGTAAGTAATGAAAACAGAGATAAATTTCGTGGCACATTATCAAGGAGTTCCCAGCTGTACAGACCGTTTGGTTCCGGTGCTTATTTGTTGTGCCTAGGCTGGCCCTGGTACTTGAACCTTTAATGGTGTCCAACTAGAGGCCATTTGCCACGAACTATCAAGGACCTTTCAGGGGTGAAAAGAGTGATATTGGTCAGAATTTGAAAAACAGTAATCATAAATTACTTTAGAAAGTTAATTAAGAAAACTATCAGCAAATCTCATGATGAATAAGAAATGAAAAGTAGGTTTAGGTTGATCAGAACGTGTCGCTCACAATCAACTTACGTCATATCTACTTTCGAGAGGCCGTTTATCATCCAAACAAAGCGGAAATAAACAGTGGCATTCAACGGAAACATCTGTCATTCAAACAACTGACGAAATCCTAAATGCCATTGACAAAAAGAAACTGACTGCAGTTGTCCTTCTTGATCTAAGCAAAGCTTTCGACAGTATTGACCATCAAATACTCCTCGCTAAGTTACAGGACATTGGTGCGTCCAGACCTGCGATAAAATGGCTCGGAAGCTATTTAACCTCGCGATACCAATTTGTGCGAATAAATACAACTCTGTCGACCAAACTACCTGTTAGCTCTGGCGTTCCACAAGGGAGCATCCTTGGCCCATTACTCTTTAACATCTACGTTAATGATCTCCCTTCTGTGCCAGAAAATTGTACATCGCAGTGTTACGTCGACGATACCAAACTTCTCAAATCATTTCAACTCCGCGATCAGCACGAAACGATAGAAAAAATGAACAAGGACTTGTTAAGCATTAGGAATTGGTACTTTGATAATCAGCTTTTACTCAACCCAGATAAAACAAAACTAGTGATATTCGGCAGCCGGCAAATGACTGCTAAGGTTAGCGACTTTAGGCTATTTCTATTGGGGAAGGAACTCGAGCCCGTTAAGGCTGCAAGAGACCTTGGTGTCACACTGGACTCTAACTTAACATATAGTGAGCATATTGTTTCTACTGTATCCTCATGCATGTCACGTTTGGGCCAAATTAACCGCGTTAAGCATATTTTTAATAAACACGCGCTAATTATTATTATACATGCCTTAGTATTTAGTAAATTATTCTATTGCTCTTCTGTTTGGAGCAATACTACTCAAACTAATCTGGACAAGCTCCAAGCAGTACAGAATTTCGCTTCTCGTATTTTTTGAGCGGCGCTAAAAATTCGATCACATAACTCCTTTGCTAAAAGACTTGCGCTGGCTACCAATCAGGCAACAACTTTATTTTCGTTTTGCTGTTCTGGTTTTAAGTGCATGACGAGTTGTGCTCCGGAGTATTTGACATCAAAGCTCGTTGGAAGATCCGCCGTCTCGACAAGGAATACGAGAAATTCTCAACTTTTGAACATACCACTCTTCCGCACTGCCAGCGGCCAAAGGACCTTTCAATATAGAGCAACCTCTCTCTGGAATGAGTTGCAGCCTGCGCTCAAACTTAGCCCATCCGTGACGGAATTCAAGTGTTTACTCAGGCAAAAGCTTCTTAATGACTGCTTTATTTAATTAATTTAATTAATTTTATTGACCTTTGTCTTCTTTTATCATTGTTATATTCTTATTGTAATGTACTTGGTTTATAATTTTGTAATGTAAAATTGACTCTGAAAAGCCCCGTGGGGACGAGCCAATAAAGTATGTATGTATGTATGTATCAGTTATAGTAGTTTGTCAGATTGTTTATTTATCGTTGTAAAAACACTAAAATCATTCATACCAAGAGATCATAATTGGACCAATCATAATCTGTTGTTTATACTCTGAACGTGAAAGCATGCTTATGATAATTGCCCTTAGAATACAAGGATAATTTAGCTTGAAAAGTAGGGATAACAAAGAAAATCAGGTTACTGTATGTCTTGACATTGAACATTTTGGAAGTTTGCAGTGGTGCACTTGCAACATTTAAATCGATATTTTTTATAACTGAATGAAAAGAAACATGTTGTAATCATAAACAATGAATAATTATTAAGGGGCATGTCCTTGGGATTTCCTTACTAGTTAGAAAATTGAAAAAAATAGCAGATTAATGGAACGAAAAGGTAAAGAACATGTCCTCCTCCCTTTCAAATATCCTTCGCGCGTTGCTGTTTGCAAAGTTCCTTCAATTTCTTTATTTGCTTATTGCAAACTTTTATGACTGATTCTCCGCTTATTTGCCCGTCTATTTTAACTCTTGGCCCTTTAGGTAACCAGCATGTAACTTAAAATATCTCTTCTTAATGTAATGTAAAGGTTATGAGGACAAAGGATGATATCCAAAGTAAAAAAGGTCTTGGTCGTTAAAAGAAAAGAAAGAAAAATTTCCGTAGAAAATTTATTGAACACGGTTTGGAGTAAGTGCATGCCGCGATAAGTGTTTATACGATTACGGGGGAATTAACATTAGTTTAATCTTTTTTGAAATGTTTTGTATGTCTTTAGTTTATACGATATCCTTTTACCTACCGTACTGTTATTCCGCATTTTATGATCAGATCATTTCATAAGATAGTAACTTTAATATATAAACACCAAAAAAGTAGACCGTGCTGCATAGAAGAAAGTTTCTTGTAAGAAGACATAATTGCGGTCATCATTGTTTAAGATTAGGTTAACAAATAATAAACATGTAAACGGCAGAATTGTAATTCTGGTGAGTGAATGATGGTTTTGGGTTGATGTTTGTTTGTTTTTTCGTTTGGTCTGTTTGTTTGTTTGTTTGTTTTTTTCATCAGATTGCTCGCTTTTGTTATAGACGCGCACTTCCTCGGAGGATACCGAAAATACGAAAATAGCCAAACAGGGATTAATTAGGCTTACCACGGGTAGCCCGAGCTCGAAATATGAGCATCGGCGAGCATTGGCATTGTTGCATAGCATTCTGTATAAGGAATTATATGGGGAAAAAACCTATCGTTTCTGTAGCCTACGAAGATGAAAGGATTTCAACAAAAAACAGCTTACCTTACATAAAATGTGTGTTACATCTCTCCTGTGTTGTCCATGGGCCAATTAATGTCCGTTTTAGGGGTTGGACTGTAAACGGATTTCTCTGTATATTTATAAACCGTTTACAGTACAACCTATAAATCGGCCCATGGACCACACAGGAGAGATGAAACACACACTTTATGTAAGGTAAGCTGTTTTTTATTGAAATCCTTTCGTTTTCGTAGGTTTCAGAAACGATAGGTTTTTCTCCATACAAATCCTTATATTTAGAATGTTATGCAACAATGCCGATGCTTGGGCTACCTGTTAGTCTGCTACACAGCCGTTTTTAGAGTCGTCACGCAACGCTCCTCCCCACAATGGGGAGGAGCGTTGCGTGACGACACTAAAAACGGCTGTGTAGCAGACTAGCAACCTGTGGGCTTAGAAAAAACAATTACAGGGCTTTCATTTGCAGAATAGGCGATTTTAAGGCTTAAAAACAGATACAAATGCGTCGGTTCTACGCATATATTGCAAGTGAGTGCACCCTATGGTGCCCTATATAGTGTGACCCCTGTCACTCTCTTCAGTACTATGGAGAGACTGACAGGGGTCACACAAAAACAGCCAAAAAAACCGACTACATCGATGAATTCACACCAAAAAAAACACAGAAAGACATCAAAGTTAAGTCTCCTTTATTTATTTTATAGCAAAAAGTGAAAACACTGATATTTGGCCTTCGCAGACCTCAGTAATTTATTTCTCATACAAAGTCTCAACGGTCGCTTAAAACGCGACACCGACTCTCTTGAAAGAAAGTTAAATTTGCATAACGCACTCATAACGTGAGCTTGGGATGCCTGTGATGAATCCTTGTCTAGGATAGATTCATCGGTTCATTTATAAAAGTTATGGTGGGGGGTGGGGAATTTTTGAGCCACAGGAATTTTTTTTCGTTATCAAATTCCTTGTGTGAATTGTTTTTAGGCCGTGGCATGAATATCTTTTAGGGTTAATTTTCGTGCATGAATTTTTTTTCCTTTAATTTTGCCTTGCGCGAATATTTTTTTTGTACTTCGCCCGCCCCCACCCCCGTTATAAGTTTTCTAATGGTCCGTCCCTTAATCTACCATCCATCATCCCCTGGGATCATCCCAAAGGAACGCACCCCAAGTAAGTCTAATTAATTACTACTTGCCTTTTTCTTGTCTTCCTTTTAGCATTTTTTTCCGTAACAATGTTATTGCAATTAGGTGTAAGTCCTGGTGCTCTTTCTATTATTTGAAAATAAGAATTCATTCGCATGAGTATGAACTGGTTTTTATATGCTGAGCTGCGCACAAGCCATCGCTTTAAAAAGAAGGTTTAGCATGCTCTGAAACTGTTTCAGTTTCAGTTTAGTTTCAAGGCATTTTTTTTCCAGAAAAAAATACATATGCATACAGACATTCAATATATTACAAAAATGTTATTTAAAGATTAAAGAGACGTAAATTCCAAGTAAAAGAATTTTAAAAAATTAAATGTTCTGGCGAGGAAGCTCAAATGGAAACCTTGGGGCTTTTTATATGAGCTCCCTCCCTAAACTAAGACTAAAAATAATAAATAAATAAACGGCAAAATCATACTGAAATATAATTAGGATAAAAAGAAAGCAAAACAAAACGGACAAAACAGACAAAAAGCAGCAAAAAACAAGTATTATTTATAAATGGTTAATCAACTAAGAAGAAATGATTTCAATCTGGATTTAAAAAGAGAGATAGTAGCAGCAAAAACGAACGTAAAGCATTTTTTTCTCTTTGATTGTCAACTCGTAAGTATATGGTACAAACTGACCCAGACATAATTTAGCCCATTTTTTGAACATGTGTATAACTGTTAAGACTTCCTGGCTGCGATGAGACGATTGTAGTAGATTAATAATTTACTGACCCTATGAGAGCGTCAGTTAAACCTCTGGCAATTGATTAAACTTGGCCTTTTTTAATCAATTTGAATCTTTGTTCTACAGATGTATCGATCAAGAATCGGTTAATAAACTTTGTATCACTGATCATGACAGTTTAGCTCGTTTTCTAAAAACCAGACAATTGTGCTATTTGTTTTGCCAATTGTACGGCAGCAACAAGATTGCCAATAACTCCGGCGTTTAATAAAATGAAAATACGGCCCACCGCATATCTAACTGGTCTTCGACATGATGAAGCTATCACTTAAGGAAAACAGATATATTAGAAAAAGGTTCGCATGAACGTAGTTGCTCCGGAGAAAATTCATGGTAATGACAAACTACCAAACAATTAGAGAACTGTATTGTTCTGCAAAATTCACTTGAGAGTCGAGGAGAGGTACATGGCGAGTTAATTTTTCTCTCAGACAAAAAAGGACAGCTAAATATGGTGGTGAATGATGGTGCAAGTTCCGTGTTAATATTTTGGGTTCACTATACTCAATCGAAATGAACGTCACCATAGCGTTTTTAATTTTAAATATTTTACCTTTCATATAACAGATCCGGGAGATGATGTGAACGGGGGAAATAAAGTTTAAAAAGCAATTCAATGAAGATTTAATCTTGACGTAGTGAAATAGCAATTTAAGCAATTGCAAATAAACCGCCCAAGATGTTAAAGTGATAGCCCACAATTAACATGTTTGGGGATATACTCGGTTAAGACTTCCTCTTCTAAAGAAAATATGGCCAATTTAGTGCTGGTATCCATGTGAACGTCAGTCAAAAGTTGAAGAAAAACGGCACAAGCAATTTGAAGCTACAAAATACAGAAACACTTTGATATAAGCCCCACCAGTAACAGGTTCGCCAATATATTCTCCCCTCTAACTTGCACTGAAATGAATTTGATTTATTATGATATTTTGAAGCTTTTACCAGTAACTGCAAAACACATTTAAATCAGCACTGCGTTAGCTTGTTTCGAACAGCTTTTTCCAATTCCGTTATAATACCCCTCGGATATAAGCCCCTCCGTTTAATTTATCAAGAGCCCTTCTAAAAACCCCTTAGAAAGATGTATAATCCCAGGGTTTTTAAGCGGCAGTTTACGGCACCGCATATCATTATGTTTGGCTCACAAACTTAACACCTCCGTTAGCAAAATTTTCTCGTTTTTTACTAAAACTGCTGATTGCTCGCAGCTAATCGTCGAATTCAATTCTTTTTTTCATGATTTTTATATGATAAAAACAGGTTACATTCTAATTTCCTAAGCTCGAACGAACGTTTTATTTTCTTTAATTCCCACCTCGTAAATGGCCCAGACTTTCGAGCCCATTATTTGAACATTTGTACATTGTTACTGAGACCTCACTGCCTGCGATGACATTATAAGCGCGTCAGTTTAACTTCTAGCAATTGACGAAAACCGTTTTTTACTCAATTTGAATATATGCTTAACAGAACTATCGATCAAGACTTGGTTAATATACTTTTATTACTAACAGTTTAACTCGTTTTCTAAGAGCCAGGCAATTGTGCTACTTGCTCGCTAATCAACAACAACAACAGCAACAACATCTTTATTTCTTACATTAAATATACAAATATCACACCACCTGCAAATAGCAAGGCTAATCGAGGCAGGTGGTGTGTAGACGGCTTAAGATTTATTACGAATAGTTGAAGTGAAAAAGTACCATATTTATAATAAAAAAGGTCAGTCACGAGAGAAATTGAGATAAGAAAATCGAGGCAGCTATTTAGATAAGCGGGGGCTAATATTTTTTAAAATCGGAGATTATCGTGTTTAGGTCAGCATATCTATCATGAACTTCAAATATTTTTAACAGAATTGTATGAACTTTTTCCTTAAAGAGAGATTTTGAAGAATTTCGTAAATTTTCAGGTATACTATTCCAAATTTTGGCTCCCATAATAGAAAACGAATCATTTTTCTAATTTAGTCTAGAGTGGCTAATGTAATAATTTCCAGAAGAGGAGGAGCGAGTGCTGTAAGAGTGGATTTGTTGAGTAGGAGTAAAGAGATGTGAAATATTATGACGGGCAGTGTTATTGTAAACATCAAACATTAACATCGAAGAAAGCTTGAAATAGAGCATTGTAATAGGCATAATATTAGAGTGAAGAAAGTAAGGGACGGCATGAGAGCGGAAAGGTGCGAAGTTATCGCACGGCAACACAAAGGCAACACCAAGATCGTCTAATTCCATCGTTTAATAAACTGAAAATACAGAGCAAATATTTAATTGTTTGCTGACAAGGTGCATGTAGCAGTCATATAAGGAGGACAGATATATTAAAAAAGAGTTCAGTTGACTGTAGCCGCATCGCAGAAAAGTCATGGAAACGAAAAACTTTACTGGAGATGAAAACCTGCGAACAGTTGCTGAAGAACTTTCGTGCTCTGCGGAACTTACTGGAGAGGTACATGGCGAGCTCGTTTTTCTCTCTGTCATTAACACTATTTTGTCAATTACAGCATTTTTGGGGAATACTCTGATCCTAGTTGCTTTTCGCAAGGACACATCAATTCATCCGTCATCCAGACTCCTGTATCGTAACCTAGCGATAACTGATCTTTGCGTTGGTATCATTCTCGAGCCTGTACTGGTTGCTCAATGCATATCTGTGGTGAACAGAAGATGGGCTATTTGCTATTACGCATATTTGACAGGATATTTCGCAGGTGTTACTTTGTGTTCAGTGTCGTTGATAACACTGACTGCAATAAGCGTGGACAGACTTCTCGCTTTGCTACTGGGTCTCAGATACAGACAAGTTGTAGCTTTGAAAAGAACTCGTTTTATTGCTGTTGGTGGTTGGATTGTGTCCGTTGTCGGTGCATCTACATTCTTTCTGAATCTTCTTATATTTTCATTGTATCAATATATTTTTATAGCTTTTTGTTTAGTCACTACAATCTGTGCCTACACAAAAATCTTCATGTCTCTGCCTCATAACCAAATTCGTGGTCAGAACCATGTTGTTCAAGGGCAATCGAGCCAAGTAAATACACTGAATATAGCTCGATACAGAAAGGCAGTGTACAGTGCACTGTGGGTGCAGGTAACATTGGTTATTTGTTATCTGCCGTACATTATAGCTGAAGCTTTAGCACCTCAAAGGGGGATGCCTTTATCTACTTACCTTCCCAGGGCATTTACAGTTACTTTAGTGAATTTAAACTCGTCGTTAAACCCGTTTCTGTACTGCTGGAAGATCACAGAAGTGAGACAAGCTGTGAAAGAAACATTACAACAACTACACTTCTGTACCTGAACTAAGACTTACACTAAGAACATTTACTAACGAGCTTGATAAGAAAATATGTATAAGAAAACCAGACAAATGTCGTAGTCCGAATTGCACCTTTAAGATTGTTTTCTTTTTCATTGCAGATTGTAAAGACACAAACAAAATCATTTGCTTATGTTAAAAAGTTTAATAATCCTAAAACAAAATGAAAATATCACTAAAACTAGTCAATTAGCTAATTAGTTCTCTGGCAATGAAGACTACGAAGCAGGCACATATCACGAGGAGCCGCATGCAGTAAAATTTCTGTCCCGTAATTTAATCAGTTAAATCATCAAAGTTGACAGGTCTTTCTGATGATCAAAGCGACCGTTCGGTTTACCATTTACACCTTTAGTGCGAAGACTGTCACGGGAACATTAACACCTTCAGGATAATTGCTTACCATAACAGTGGTAGGTCGCGCGCGTCTGGTCGGTTTCGAAGAACGTGATCGTGACTGTTGTTTTCATTCAGTGACTGTGGGCGTTGATATGCCAACGTTTAAAACAGACTGCAACATTAAATTTTTGTTATAAAAGCAAAGAAGCTGCTGAGTAGAAACTAAACCGTCCCAGACTTATTCCGTTTCATTCGTTTACTTTCATTTTGATGGGGTCTGTATGATGAATTTACTTCTGCCTTCTAATCAGGCACGTAAACAACATAGAGATAAAACATTTCATTTTGCTTTTGTGGAGTAAATTCATCTTAAAAAAGGTTAACTAGTGGACCACTTTCTCCGCGTACTTGTAAAAATAGGCATTTAATATGTCGCGCTACAGTGCGAAAATCTTCTTGTTGTGGATTAGATTTCAGTATACATATTCTTCATTTCGCGCCAGAATAAATTAGTTTGCGCGCAAAGAGCTTCTAAAAAAAGATCACAAGGTTTGTCCCACGTCGAGTCCACCTTCTAGAGATACGCCAGCATGGTAGCTGGAAAACATTGCCGAGGCGAAGATCTGGCATTTTTTCCTCCTCGTCTTTTTTTCTCCGCGACGTTTGTTTATATTTGTAGTGAGAATGCCGCGCATATCGGTGGATTTTACTTCAGTCAAGCGGCTTCAGTTCCTGCGGCTTGCTACTCATCATAAAGAAGAGTGCCGGAATCGCTTTGTTCACCTTTAACAGATTTGTTGTAGAATGCAAGGTAAAAGAACGGACTACTGTAAGGTAAGAATTGAAGTTTAAATTTGTTTCTCGGCGAAAAATATTGCATACAACTCGTGAAACCCGTGAGTATTACCTCTGTTTAATATACCGGATGTCATGCGATGACCCCTCGCTTTTACGATGGATAGGACGGATACAAACAATAATTTCTTTGGCAACGTTTAGTATCATTTACTTAATATGGAGATCATCTGAGGACGATGTTTCGTTATATATGCTTCATTTCTTGGCTTATTCCGGCTACGTGCGAAAAATTAGATGACAATGTTTGTGTGCTATAATTATACTGATAATTTCTTGCACCTTGAAACTCATGAAAGCCAAACTTGTTTAACCCTAGCAAAAAACTCTTTTAATGGAGGAACTCAACCTGATAGTTGCACTAAAATCTAATAATTGTTACTGCATTTGCGTGCTCTCTGTAACCTCGTGGGTAGAACATACCCGATGGTTACATTAATAATAATCACTGCATTTGCTCTCTGTAACCTCGTGGGTAGAACATACCCGAAGGTTACGTTAATGATAATCATTGCATTTTCTCTTTGTAACCTCGTGGGTAGAACATACCTGATGGTTACATTTAAAATAATAATCACTGCTTTTGCTCTCTGTAACCTCGTGGGTAGAACATACCTGAAGGTTACGTTAATAATAATCATTGCACTTTCTCTTTGTAACCTCGTGGGTAGAACATACCTGATGGTTATATTAATAATATCACTGCATTTGCTCTCCGTAACCTCGTGGGTAGAATATACCTGACGGTTACATTTAATAATAATCACTGCATTTGCTCTCTGTAACCTCGTGGGTAGAACATACCTGAAGGTTACGTTAATAATAATCATTGCATTTTCCCTTTGTAACCTCGTGGGTAGAATATACCTGACGGTTACATTTAATAATAATATTAATCACTGCATTTGCTCTCTGTAACCTCGTGGGTAGAACATACCTGAAGGTTACGTTAATAATAATCATTGAATTTTCTCTTTGTAACCTCGTGGGTAGAACATACCTGATGGTTACATTAAAAATAATCGCTGCATTTGCTGTCCGTAACCTCGTGGGTAGAGTATACCTGATGGTTACAATGATAATCATTGCATTTTCTCTTCGTAATCTCGTGGGAAAAAAAATTAATGCCTCTCTCCTGGAAATTTTGCCCTGTCCTTTGAGCATAGTGATCTTTGGGTAGCGAATTCACGAAAACAGGTAAAACGCTTTTAACAACAGCATTTATATTATTTGGCTTTTTGAGGGAGGTTAAACATTAATGGAATATAATATAAAAAAAGCTGATAAAGCGGAAAAAGTTATCTTTACAAAATGCGCTTTGACAATGTCAAGGAGTGAAATAAGCTGAAGTTTTGTAGTTAGCCCGAAGAAAACCTGTTCCTGCATGAAAAGCAGTTCTGATTCCCTTCTCTTAACTAGAAGAGATGCATATCCGCGTGAACCAGTTTTTTAACTAGGAGCGATTCCCACTCACTTAAGATACTTTATTGACACGAGTTCCTATTTCAATATATGTCTAATTCAAGCTTAGCCGCGTGATAGCTCTTCATTAGCGAAAAGGTCCAAGTGATATTTTGATTGACGTGTTGTTTTGGATCCTGAGGTTTTTTAACACCTTTTCTCTAGCTTAACTGGCGAAGATATTCTAGGAATTTGCCCTTCAATTCCAAATTCTTTGATGTGCCGCCAGATGCCGTGCAAAAATATCACCTCTTGCGGCTCCTCGTGCTTAAAGAGATCTAGAACAGCTCACTTGCTCACGGTACATGATGTAAGTTAAATTTGATGGCCAATAAATATACATTAACATTGTTTTGTTGCCTGACACAGGTCATTTTAATAAAAGCTTGCGAGTATACGAAGGCTTTTGTTTTTAGATATCTTGAAAAGTGAGCCCTTATAATTCTGGTTTGCAGGTGACGTCACAGCGGCCATCTTGGTCGTCAAGAACAAAAGCATTTCTCTTCTCTGGGAAGTAACCTCTATTTTCATGTAAATTCTTCGAGATAACAATTCTTTTTTACTGACCCCCAACATGGTAGCCTTGTCACGTGGTTGCAAACTAAGAACATCCATATGGTAACGTGATATCAATGGAGGAGAAGAGGCTATCATCAGTCCCCCTCGGGGGATTGCTCAGATCACTAACTATTACCTACTGTTGTTATTTCAGGGGCACCCAACGGCAATTTTCGGGAAAATATCTGTGCGGAAGACGATTTGAGATCTAGAATTTTCGGAGCATTTGTTGTAAAATTTCTTCCTTGCCTGCCTCTCCTAGGATTTTCGAACATCTACAAAATGGTATAATTACCCATTTTCAACAGATTTTGACCCTAAAAAAGGCCACCTAGAATTTTCGGGAGCCTTTTCCTGGCTGAAATTTTCGAGAAGGTAAGTTTTTATCCCTATAATTTTCGGATCACTAGACTTTTAGCTAGGAAATCCGAACAGATGAAAAGTTTTTAGGGAATAAAAATATGCCTATATCTACCGTTTGAATACTGAAATACGTTCAACAATGCTATGTTAAGTGGTTTTGAACTTTATCCCCGTTGGGTGCCCCTCTTATTTACCATCGTATCAATTGTTTCATCCAAAATAAAGTCTGTTGCGAGGTCGAATTTGTAATTTACAGGGACAGAATACCAGAACCAAAAAATCCAAGTAAATCACTTAACACGGTGCGCGACATAAAACGAACTCGACGAGAAGTGAAGGAAGTAACATGAACAGATTTATTGAACCAGAGATCAATGTTCCTAGCACAGAGGTCACAACTTGACACAGAAGAATCGACGGGGTCGGTTGATAAGACAAAAGGTCCCTAAGTTGTGAAATCGGTACAAGTCGTACAAAGTCGGTTCGAACTGAAAACGATAAAATCGAACGAAAACTTAGCTAAAAATACATAGATTGCAAATATATATGACTAAAAACCGATAATACCAAATAGCGAATGAGAACTAAATAACACTAGAAAATACACTAAATTAGCGTATAAAGTGATTGAAATAATACGACGATAAAACTGCTGGTATCAATCACTCAACATACTCATGTATGTATGTATGTATGTATGTATGTATGTATGTAAATCTTTATTTAAACACGGGAAATCATCAGTAAAGCTTAAGTTAAAAACTAAAACTAATTACAACTGCTTTACATGATTGCCGTGTGGGAATCCGATATATCAGCTACCTTCTTGATATTTCGCTTAAAATGCTCAACGGATGCAGCATTTTTTAAGTTTTTGGGCAAGTTATTCCATAACATGGCCCCGCTGTAAGAGAAGGTTCGTTTCAAATAATTGGTGCTTGGTTTGGACAGGGTCAGCCTTCCCTCAGAGTTTCTTAAGTTGTAAGCAGAGTGACGCTGAGAGAAAAGACTTTGTAGATATTCCGGAGCAAGGTCATTCATGGTTTTATACATCATTAATTATAAGGCTTTTTGTTTCTTTCGTCGAAGAGATAGCCTCTCCCAGCTGACGGTGGAGAGAAGGTGGTTTGAGCTCGCATCAAAGGGTGATTTAGTAATAACTCTGGCTGCACGATTCTGTAATTTTTGGAGCTTATCACTCAAGTAACCACTCAAACAGTCCCAGACGGGGCTGCAGTAATCAAAATGAGGCATAATTAAGGCGTTATAAATTTGAATTGCAGTTTCTTTGGATATAAACGGCCGCACACGTTTTAGGGCGCCTATAGCTGAAGAGACGTTCTTGCAAATCTCTTCAACGTGTTTACCCCAAGAGAGTTGAGCATCTATGGTAAGACCCAAGGATT